TAGTTTCAGTACTCAATGCTCGAACCTCGAATTAGAACCGAAAGATTCTACTCGAATTTTTTCGCGAACATCTTCGCTTAAGATCAAGTCACGGATGTTATCAAGCTTCAACTTGTTATTGCTTGCGAATTACTTACCTGCAAGAATAAGCTTGCACCCCAACTTTCCGATAGAGATGATAATAAAATTAATGCTTTCACCTCATCATCAAATATTATCTCAGACTGATGTCAATCAGCGCAATAATTGCATTAAATTCACTAATATGATTAGTAACCGAGTTACCTTCACCCATTTTGAGGTTGACTAGCCTCGCGAATCAAATGCACTTTATTGGCTGCAGAGGGCTTCTCATACATATTTGACAACGCCTGCATCAAATCTACGGTTGTCTTCTCGTTCATGATGTTGAACGCAACATTCTTGGCTAATGTCGACCGGATCACACCAAGCGTCCGCCGATCTAACAACTCCCATTCTCGATCGCTCCATGTCGGTTGGCTTCGCCTCGTCAAGGGTAGATACAACTTCTTCGATACAGATAATCTTCCATCTCGCATCTTCCGAACCCGAAGTCACCGCCATCGAACTTCTCGATCCTCACCTTTCCTTCTTCCAATGCCATTGCTCTCACTCGCTTCGAAGAAAGCTCCCACTCGCTTCTCTAAACCGAGATTCCCAAGAAAAAAGACCAAATCTTTTCGATGTGGAAGATCGGACAAAGCCGCAACCACAGAGCATACTAAGAAAATTGGCTCTTGATACCAATTGTTAGGATCGAGCGCTTACCACTAGGCCAAAAGCTATAGCCATTAGTCAGAGCGCAACTCTTTTTACTTAAGAGTAACAGCCCAAGCGCCACGATTCGATTGTGACTCGGCCCACCCGGCCTCTGCCACAGGACAATTGATGCTACCTGCAACAATAGCGGTTCCACAAGAACCGCTCTTAAAAGTGCACTTCTAATAGCAGTTAACCATTAACCGCTATCTAAATTATACTTTAGATAGCGGTTAACGTGGAACCGCTATCATATCTTCTCATGAAAACTTACATTAACTATTTTTTTGAATATTATGTTTTTAAATTTGCTATTAGAGAAAACCTTTCAGTAATTCAAAATGTTAAATACTTTTAAATATTAAAATTAACTTTATCAAAAATTAGGAAAAAAAAGTAATTCAAAAGAGTTCAAAAATGTATTATAATATTGTCAATTTTGAGTTTAATTATATTGTTCATTCTCAAAGTAAAAAAATATATTGTAACTAGTTTAATTTAATAAAATATAATTTAAATTTTTAATACTAAAATTAAAAGATTTATGTTGCATGAGGTTTCTTCACTTAAAAGATTTTGCAAAATGCCTTTACAAATGTTTTTAACAATTAAAACAAAGTATTTTGACAAAAGCTTTCTCAAATGCCTCTACAAAGTATTTTTAACAATTATATTGAGTTTAATTCTACAAATTAAAAGATTAAATAATAATAAATTTAATTCTTTAAATTCAGTAGCTAGAAACTAAAATTATAGTTTCTCTGTTTTAAATAATTAAAATAAATATTTAAAAATAAAAATCAAAACTAATATTATCTTAAATTTATTAAAAGTGTAATTAAATATCTATTTTCTTAATTTTATTTGTTTCAAACTTCTCAATTCTACATTTTTGTAAGTTCTATCATTAAATTATCATCATCATCTCCTCCCATGTTCTACTTTATCTTTACAATAGTCAATATTCTTAACTAATTTATATTTTTAATTATAAATTTTTAGTATATATTTCAGAAATTAATCAATTCTAATCTATTATTTGAAAAATTAATCAATTCTAATCAATAATTTAGAAAACTAATCGATTATAATTAATTATTTGAAAAAATTATCAAATATGATCGATCATTTCTAAAATCTAATCGATCAGAATCAAATATCGCTCGAGCGATACTAGAGTCGCTCAAGCGTAAATACAACCCGAGAATGCCAATTTTGTGCAGTGGGCATTTCGCTCGAGCGAGAAGAGTGTCGCTCAAGCGAGATACATTTTAGATAGCGGTTACACAGGAACCGCTCTTAAAAGCTCACTTAGATAGCGGTTAACCTGGAACCGCTATTATATCGTTTCAATTATGATCGATCGAATGCAGTTATGACTGATCGTAACTATTTTAATCGATTAAATCTCGTTTCAATCGATTAAAACAATTTCTCGCACAGCGTTTTAATCGATTAAAACTTATTTTTATCAGTTAAAATAACTTGAAAAGTTTTACGAGAAAGTTTTGCAAGTATTTCAATCGATTGAATCGCTAAACAATCAATTAAATCAACTTAGAAGATTTTTTGTAAAGTGTTATAATTGATATAAACGTTGTCAGTATCAGCTTAAAACAAATCTGTTAAAGAATCAAGAACGTTAAATTTTTTTTTATAAAAGTAATTATTATATATTTTTTTATTTTATAAAAATGATTAATAAAAGAAAATTTTATTATTTTTTTCTTTTTTTAGGTGTAAAAGTATAATTAAATAAAAGATAAATATATATACTTTTGCATTTTAATTTTCAAATATTAATTTTTTTATGAAATTAATTTTAATTAAAAAAATTAAAGTGATATATATATATATATTATTTTTAATTTATTAATATTATCAAATTTTAGCTTAATAATTAAAAAAATTACCAATAATTTAAATTTTAATATATCTATAATTTTATATAATTATTAATATAAATTTAATTCTTCTAATAATATTAACACATTTATTAAATTAAAATTCTTTACTTTAATTAATTATTTTAAATTTTTTTAACGATTTTTTTAAAATAAAACAATAAAACTTAAAATTAATTTCTAACTAAATCTTCACATATTTATGGTTAATACTATATTATATTATTATGTTTAATTAAATTTTAAAATAAGTTCACTTTATTTTTACACTTTTATATAAAAATGACTAATATAAACTTAAAATATATATCCAACTATTAAATTATCCAAGATATTAATATAAATTTAAAATATCAATTCAGTCATTAAAATAATTTTAATTTTTTATAAATACATTGAAATACATTTTTATTAACATACAAGTAATATATATATATATATATATATATATATATATATATATATATATATAAAAGAGACTAAATTAATAATTAATTTAATTATTGATTTAGTGACCGATTCGATGATCGAATCAGTGACCGATTCGGTGACTAATTTAATAATCAATTTTAAATTTTTTATTCACATGCTAAATTAAAAAATAAAATTAAATAATTATATTACTAAATTATTTAATAAGTTAGTAAACTATTTTTTTAAAATTTTTATAATGTTATTAACAATGTTATCACTTATTTTAAATTATTAAGTAGATTTATATTTAAAATATTTTAAATAAAATATTTATATAAATGAAAAATAGTTATCAATTTAAAAATTATTTTTTTAGTGATCGAAAATTTAGTCACTAAATCAGTTACTAATGTCACTATTAACCATTTTTCTAGTAGTGATCTGAATCAGTGACCAATTCAGATGGATCAATCAAGTGATCGATATCTCGTGATCGAAATTTTAGTCATTAAATCGATCACTAAATATAAAAAGGGAAATCGATCATTGATTCAAGTATTATCGATGATCGAATTTTTCGATCACTAATTTCGGTCACTATTTGGTGTTTTTCTTGTAGTGGTATTGGAATAATTTTGATTTAGGAGAAAACAATTAATTGTAAGTGAAAATGATTTTTTAATAATTTTGAGGAAATTATTTGCAATTATTATTATTTAAGAAAAATAAATTAAAATTGAGAAAATTATGATTTTGAGTGATGATGAATATGATGAGGTGGAATGATGGTTTGGTGAAAAGTAGAAGTGTTCTGGGCTGTTTTTGATTATTTTGCAGGTGTTAAAAAATTGTTGGGAATGTCCGATTTACAGGAGAAACTCTGTCAGAATTTTCTTAAAAAATAGCCTAGTATTATTTTGAAGAAGTTAAGATGTGATTTAAGTATAATGAGGTGAAATAAAGTTGAAAGAGTGTGAAGAAGTTATGATAAGTCATGCATCATGTTCATGAGTCAGAGATTGAGTGTATGAGGAGGATATGGAAAATCAGGGTCGGTTTCATGCTATCCTCGGGGATGATTGAGTGTGATCGAGCTCATACGTGGCTCAGGCTCGCTACCTAAGCTGTGAGACTCTCACTACCAAGCTTGATTATCCTGACTAAAGTCCTAGGGTTTCTCATGATTAGTTGAGCTGGACAAGTAATTATGAGTATACTACCGCGAGGCGGTGAGAGGTTCCAGTGAAACTCCTGATCCTTGTCGAAAAGAAAAAAAAAACAAAACAAAAAGAGAAAAGAGAAAGTAGTTTTGGGATCCCCATGGTCTTGCATACTAGGATGTGTCATAGAAAATTTTAGTGCATACATTGCATTCATAATATCATATCATTTGTGTGTTGATTACTAGTATGTTTGTATGTGTAATTTCTAATTAACTCAATGTTATTTGCATGCTCTAAGTGAATATAAAGTTGTCTTACCCTTTCTGTGCATGTATTGTTATTATGAAATGTTTGCATAGGTGACGTTGAACACAACTCATCCCCGGTATCATCTCCAAGTAAAGTTTAAATACGATCATTGCAAGTACTAAGTAGAAGACTTGATCGGACACCACTACAATATTACAAGAGATACTTTATTTTAGTGGACGTACAAAATATATCTCCTCTTTAATTAGGTTAAATAGTTAATTTGTCTGTTCTAGTCTTGTGAACCCTTGTTAAGTGTATTTTAGGATGACTTTGTGTATATTTATTATCTAGTTATACTTTATACTTATGAATGATATATATATTAATCACTAAATGTATGTTCTAATTATGGTGTACCTTATTTATAGTGTATTGGTAATAAATATAACAGCAACCAATAATAATTAATAAATCGTTATTAGAATTGTCACACCCTGCAACGACCCAAATCCCCGCAACCTCCTCGCTTAGCTTTGACACCACATACCACCCTCTCAACCTAAATCACATCCACTTTACTATTCCCTCATATTTGCCTTCAACCTTAACCACCACATGGAGTACCACCACAAACCCTAGCCACGTCGCACGTCTTAGCCACTAGGAGTCATCACGCCTCCTTTGTTCTCACTATTACCTCGCCACAACCATCATAGCTCACACCCACGAGTATATAACTCACTCTTTCGCCACAACCTTTCCCCTGTAGCCTCTCGCGATCACCACTTCTCTCTAACCATGAGCCATTAGAAATTGGACCGCACTCCCTCACTGTGAGCCCTAATCCCAAATCACCGAGTCACCATGTCTTCACCGCGAACCTCCACCGTGCTATCCTCTCACTACCCATGACCTCCCCACTCCCATCTCTTTACTGGTTCAATCTTTTCTTATTCTCTGATTTCACTTGAGTTTAAATTAAGGTTCCCACTAGGTTAGGATTTGGGCCCAAAAAATTTGTTTGAATGGACTATTTAGCCTAGCTAATTTGTTTGAAACTTTTGGGCTAATGAATCTCAAAGATTTTTTATTTGAGTTATTGAAGCTAATGAGTTGTTTTTTTTAAACTTCGGATCAATATAATAAAAATAGGTTTCAAATAGTAATGGGCCTAATTTTTTTATCAAAAATAAAAATATAATTCAACTTCTTATTTAAAAATAATTTAAATTTGTAGATTACTATTAGTAAATTGATAATTAAATTTTAATAATTATTTGTTCTCCTTAAATATCAAAATATTATTTTATGTAATTTTTAAATATGTAGTATTATTTTGTAACAAATATTTCTTAGAAAAAATTAACTACTTTGGATGTATTTCTAATTTGATTATCATAAAATTTACTTCTAATGTAGTTTTGATTTGATTATAATAAAATATTTATTTTAAATATTTAAATTTACATAAAAATGATAAATTTAATAAGTAAAAATATTTGAATATTAATAATTATTTTGGATATATTTCTAATTTAATTAGTACTTAAATTATAAAGATGATAATCACTTTAAATATATTTTTATTTTGATTATTACATAATTATTTAATTTTAAAATAATTTTAAGCATATGTTTAATTTAGTAACACAAATAAATAAATTAAAAAAATTATTCACAAATATTTTCCTACAAAAAACTATATCACCCTACTTCTCCATTGCACTAGATATACACGTGCGAACCTCTATTGAGCTAAAAAATATTAAATTATATTATCTTTTATTTTTAAAAATAATATTTAATTTCATAAAACTATAGATATATACTTTTGAGTGATAAAATAAATAGTTTTTAAGATATTTAAGTTTTTCACATTTAATTAAAGGTAATAGTTTAATAACAAATATTGTAGGTTATCAATATCTTTCTTACATATAGTTGACTCTCCAGTCCAACTATTATTTCGCAAACCACTTTTTTTTTTCTTTTAAATGTTTTTTCTGATATTTTCTTTAAAATGAATATTGGTGGAGATTCATTTTTTTTTTTTGTATTTTCACCGTCTCGATTTTAGTTGCAACAAATTAATTACCATAATGACTAATACACTTAAAATTCTTATTTTTTGCATAATATAATCATAATATTTTTCGTGATCTTTACATTGTTTCTAAAACATGTTAAACATGTCCTTCACAAGAATTTTATACTCTAACGACATTTTTTTTTTAACTCAATCAATTCATCAAATTTTTTTTTGTGTTTTTCCTTTATTGCACTTGTTATGTCAAATAAACCAATATGAGAATTAATGCTTGCAATGACTTTTCATTTAATCTTTATCTTTGGTGCCTTTTATTCTATAGGGTGAGATATTAACTATGTTGTGTCACATTAATCAACTTTAATGGGTGTCTCTAGGTTAGAAGATGACGAGTATGTGTCTAAAGTAATAATCTTGCATCTTTTTGAAAAATCATCTATAAATGTTGAATATCATTTTGGTTAATCTTTTAACAATAATTGAGCATGTTCATATTCATTTTTTTCCTGTTGAATATATTTGTGAAAATCTTATATTTGAATGACATAATATCTTTGTCGTCCTAACCACTTTTCTTTTGATTGACGACTTGTTTGTAGCATGCATTAATTTTTTAAACTGCAAGGTAAAGTTTACTACATCAAGATTTTAATTAATTCACTGACATCTTTTTGAAAATATTATATTCGTCGTCATTGTTGTATCCTTCTTTAATTCGATCCCAATATTGGATTAATGACGAATCCACTTCAATAATTTAATCATTTGATACATTCAACCTTAGTCTAATTTTGAATCATATCCTCTAGTATTGAGAATACTACGCGAGATTTCTTATGAGATATATTTTCACTACTTCTACCAAGTTGAATATTATCGAGTCTGATTGAGAAATAAGGGTCTACATTGCATGAAGAAGAAATGTTACTTATATTTTATGTGATTTAAGGTGGTGAAAACATAAAAAATGGTGGTAGATAAATATAATTTTAAAAATTTCCAACAATAAATATTATTGATTTTATAATAAACTATAATAATATTGATAATAAAATTGATTGAGATTTACAACTCATTATACAAGCAACTATAATAGAAGAAAAATGATGAAATAGAGAATACGTGAATTTGTTTTATCCCTAGTTGAAGTTTTATATTGAAAAAAAATTGTTATTGTTGGGTCTAATGGCTATAAACATTCAATGACACCATTTTTTCCAATTAAAGATCCAACGACACAATTTTTTTCAATTGAGGATCCAATAGCACAATTTGTTTCATTTAAGGATGCAATGGTACAATTCTTCCCCATTTTCATCGTCTACTACACTTACCATTTTCACTTCTCCCTTACTCGTCCGCTTCTCACACTCTCACCCTAGAACCTCGTTTCCAATTCATGGATCACAACAATACTTTTTCCTCTTTGTTCTTTCAGGTAACCCTGTTGGGGGTTTCATGTGTAGGTCGAGGATGATGTTAGATGTTTATGTTTCCGTGGTTTCATATGTTGTCCAGTTTGTCTCTCACATTTGTGCTCATTGCCGCCTCCAACTGTCTCCCGCATCTATGTCCACTTCCGCCTACAACTTTGTCTCCTGCAGCTACTTTCCCTCTTCTCCTTTTCTCTCTTCTTTTTTCATTCCTTTTCCCTTTTCTCATGTCCAACAACTATTTTTATTTATTTATTCCAATTTGGTTTGGTGTACTGTAGCTATTGAGATTTCAATTTATTGTAAATGATTTTAATTTGGTTTGATTTAGTAATGTAGTTGAGATTTCAATTTGTTGCAAGTGATTAGTATGATTTTATTTTTGATATGCGAACAAAAAGTAATCAAATATTATATTTTTCTTTGAGCATTAGTTGCTTCAAGAAACAATTTTGCTTGATTTGGAAGAAATTCTCATTGTCATGAGCTCCAATGAAGAACTTCAAGTATTTTGCAACCACAGTATATAATTTAACATTCACTTATTTCAATATCTAATGGGTAAAATACATTATTATTTTATATTAATAAATAATTAAAAAAGTGAATGATAATAAGGGGAAATAAAATTTTAATTCTTATTTTTGGATTAAATATATATATATATATATATATATTTTTTTTTCTTATAATTTATATAAATTATTATATTTGAAATAAAAAATAATTTCATTAATAGAAGTTATTTTTAAAATATATTATTATTTATTTTTGTTTAAATGTTTTGTTAATTAATTATTTTTATGTAAATACATTAATATATTTTTATTTTTAATTAAGTCAAAATTAACCTATTAGTCCATTTATGATTAAATTAGACAAAAAAATATGATTTTAAAAAATATATATATCAAATTAAATCATAATTTTTATTTTATTTTTTACGTAATTCTTCTAAGTAGAACAGACTCAATTAGAGAGTTCATTTGACAATTCTATTTCTTATTTCTAAATTAGTAAAACTATTTTGCTATTTTTTATTTTAGCATTTATAATTTATATATCTTTCACACAAATAAGCATAAGGAAATCTTCCTAACGAGTTTGAACAACTTTTTTTACATGTTAAGCATTTTTTTCAGAGATTATATAGGTTGTACGAGATTGAATTAAAAATTCATTGACCCATTATCCAAATATGAAGATTGAAATATACTGGTTGAAATACTAAATAAAAAAGCAAACTCCTTTTAATGGATTAAATCGAATGACTTACTGTGTTTAACACATTTTGAAATAATGAATAAAAAATTATTAGATATTTTTTAGACTAATTTTTACTCATATTTTTTATAACTTAACTCTTAATTACATGTTTAATGAATGTAAAACATTTTTATCAAAAAGTACACATTATTAAAAACTATAAATTATTTCCAATAATATATTTTATAACAAATAAAATTTGTGATATTTTTAATAACTAAAATAAAATTAATCCAAAATTTATATACTGATTCATAATTATCAGGCCCATGGCCCTTGCGTCTCCTTTGGGTTTTCTGTCGGTTATCGGTCCACCAACCAACGGGATGGGCCTTCCTTCATTTTGATTTCATCTATTCGCATTTTTATATTTTAGGTATAGTTATTATTATTATTATTATTTTATGAACATTTAATTGTTTAAATTTGATATTAAGTATTTTAATTAAAAAAAAGAATTATAATTTTTAAAAAATCGAAATAAAAACATTTTTAAAATAATTATTTTAATTTATAATTTAATACTTACAAATTAAAAGCATATATTTTTAAAAATTTGATAAAGTGAAATATTTTTTTCAATTTATTAAACCAACCTCACAATTATCCTAAATTTTATTATAATTAAAAAAAATAACTAAATATTTTTTATATCACATTTTTTTAAATTAAGAATTTTGTTTAGATAGTCTCCTGCAAATTCTCTGTATCAGAAATTAGAACCATTGGATTTCTACGAAATGATTAACAAGGGCTGTGATATCACAAGATGATGGACGAAGGCAAAACTGGACGCAGAGGATGCGAGTGCAACTACACCCTTTCTTAACTAGCAGAACCTAACACCTCGTTTTTTTGTCGTGAACTCCATAATTTACTTTATCGAGGGACCGTTTGAACCTTTCCTATTTCTTGAGAATTTTTGTAACACGAAATTTCATTTTTTAAAAAGAGACTAAACAAAGAAAGGAACAATAATCATAAAAAAAGAGAGGAGATTTTCCCAGCGACCAAACAGATCTAATTTCTCACTTTCCCTTTGCATTTTCGTTTCGCATTTTCGCCAACTCACCATTCTCCTGGCGACGAGGCCTCTCGCGATAACTATCCGAATGGCTCCGTTTCCGTCCGAGAACGGCGTAGAAGGAGACGACGAGAGAGAAGAGGAAGACGAAGAGGAAGAAGAAGACGAAGAAGAAGTGGAGGATGAAGAAGACGAAGAGGAACCGAGGCTCAAGTACCAGAGAATGGGAGGTAGCATACCTTCGCTGCTAGCGAGTGACGCCGCTTCGTGTATTGCCGTTGCGGAGCGGATGATCGCTCTCGGCACTCACGGCGGCACCGTTCATATCCTCGATTTTCTCGGGAATCAGGTTAGTTAACGAGTTATCATCTATTCGCTGCGTAATTCGTCGTGGATAATATCGCGATTACTGTGAATTTGAGCTGTTATTGCTCGAATTGGAGCTGGTCAGATCAAACTTATGGAGCGAATTATTTTGTGTGATTGAGAACTTGGGTTCGTTGAGTTCTCTTCAAATGTATGCTATCGATTGTGGATATTAATTGGTCTATGCTGACACTGCGCTTTGCGATTTCGCGAAGCTGCTGTCGTGTGATTGAGAATCTCGCAATTTCTGTGAACATGAACTGTTATGAATCAGTTTCTAATTGAGTTACCTTGTTATAGGTTAAGGAATTCTCTGCACATGCTTCTGTTGTCAATGACCTTAGCTTTGACACTGAAGGGGAATATATCGCAAGCTGTTCTGATGACGGATCAGTTGTGATAAACAGCCTTTTCACTGTTGAGAAATTGAAGTTTGAGTACCATCGGCCCATGAAGGCTGTTGCATTGGATCCAGATTATGCAAGGAAAATGTCCAGAAGATTTGTTGCTGGTGGTTTGGCTGGTCATTTATATTTAAATTCAAAGAAATGGTTGGGCTACCGTGATCAGGTTTGTCAGAATGTTTTAATTCTTAGCATATGTACTCTCTACTTCTCAGTACTTTTTATTTGTTAACAATAAAACTACCCCACCCTACCCTCCCCAAAAGGTTTTGCACTCTGGTGAAGGTTCAATACATGCTGTGAAATGGAGAGCAAGTCTTGTTGCTTGGGCTAATGATGCAGGAGTTAAGGTTTATGATACTGCCAATGACCAGCGTATTACGTTTATTGAAAAACCACGAGGGAGCCCACGCCCTGAGCTTTTGCTTCCTCACCTAGTTTGGCAGGTTAGTCAAATATTGATCTAGGCTTGCTGTCTATCATCCTGTCATGCAGTGCCCACTGCTATAATTGAAGGTGTATTCTATTGCTTTAGAGTTTGAACAGTGGCAAGACCATTATTTCATATGTTCTTATATATCACTTGATGAAACTGTGGATCGTAATGTCCTTCCATCACTTGTAGGATGATACCCTCTTGGTTATTGGCTGGGGAAAATCTGTCAAAATTGCTTCAATTAGGACAAATCACCTAAGAGCAGCCAATGGATCATTCAGGCAAGTTCCTTTGTCTGGTATGGCCCAGGTGGATATTGTTGCATCTTTCCAAACCAGCTATTTCATCTCAGGACTTGCTCCCTTTGGTGATGCCTTGGTTGTTCTTGCATATATTCCTGGAGAAGAAGATGGAGATAAGGATTTTAGTAGCTCTGCTCCTCCACGACAGGTATTTATGCTCCTTGCTTATGATGAAATGAAATTCTTTAATTTTTCATGCTGACCTTTGTATGCTACAACTTGTTTTCTTTGTTCATTCTTCTGTATTTACTCAAGTAAAGGGAAATTCCTCCAAGTATCGTTATTAGAAGTTGTCATTTCCTTGTCTATAATACTTTGGCATGTTAAAAATTTTATATATTTATTGTGAAGGATCAAACAATGAATTTGATCATATGGATGTTTTAGATTGCTTCATAATTTTATATAAGCAACAGTACCAGATCAGCATCAGCACCATGATGCTTCCTACAAATTAGACATTTCATATATATTACGCACACAGGCATGTGACATGCACATTGTTTACTATTTAGTGCATGTTCGGTTCTATTTTATTTGGAGACAAATATTATTTTACCTGCTCCCGGAGAGAGCTTTTGCGAAAAGAAAGAAAAAGAAAATATTATATACCTGAAAAATGCTATACCAGACATTATCTAATGTGTTATGTCTGTCATTCAGGTTGTATATCACTGTGGTTCTTTTGAGGTTACTATTCCTTGTTGGGGTGTAGAAAGTAGTGAACTCAATCTGCTTAAAAAATTCGTATGGAAGAAATCATATTTATATTGTATTTGGCAAAGATAGAATTTATTTGGCAAAGATATGAAGCACCAATATTTCATTTTGTTTCATGTATTTGAAACCGATACAGTTGGTGAATTGTCCAGCCTTTAAAACATTATATCCAATAAACTACATGAAACATACAAATATGTATAATATAGGAACTGTTGAATATAGGGAAAAACTGTATAGGGTTAATTTCCCTTGTGTATTTACCACACATAGGGCAGTGTATTTATAATAAAGAAAGGTACTCCTCAAAAGAGTAACAGAATACAAATAGGGTAAATAAAAAGATATTATTTGATATTGTGATTAACAATATCTAACAATATCTCAACAATATCAAATAATATCAACTAATATCTAATCATATCTAACACTCCCCCTCAAGCTGGAGCATACAAATCGTATGTGCCTAGCTTGGTACAAAGATAATCCATCCTAGGTCCCCGTAAAGACTTAGTGAAAATATCTGCTAATTGATCACATGAGTTAACGAACTCGGTCTTGATGTCTCCAGACATAATCTTTTCCCGAATAAAATGGCAAGTCAATCTCAATGTGT